ATATTATACATACCACACTCCCAACGCTAGCATACTCTTCTTTCGAAACAAGGTCTATATGAGCTCCAACCAAACGTTCAACTAACAGATTTCCAGTCAAACCAGGGTCCTGGTCAACTAGAACCTAAAAAATCAGTGAATGAAAGGGTCAATATAAACACGAAATGTCAAGATAATTATGGCAAGAAAGTAAATCTCGTTACCCTCAAATTAATGGATCTGAAAAATAAAATAAAAATAGGCGTATAGCTGAGTACCTTTGAAGTGCGTAGTATAAGATAACAGTCTAGATTCAAATATCTGGCCGCCACGGCAGTAGCTCGACAATGATTGCTTTGTATTCCTCCAATAGTTATAATGCAATCGGCACCTTTTTCCACAGCATCTGCCATCAAGAATTCAAGCTTCCTTACCTTGTTACCACTCAATTGCATTCCGGAAAGATCGTCACGCTGTAAAAATAGCAAACATCACATGTTAGAGAATACAAATCAAAAGTTCCGAAAAACTTTAGAACATGAGTCACAATAAAATAAGTAGATATTGAGCTGTTGAACCCATGATACAGTTAACAAATACTAAGCTGATATTTCAACATAAAGCCATTGCCTCTAGCAGTACTCAATGCTCAGAATGACAAACACAAGAATATCAAAGAAAGAAATGCGCAGAATCTTATGGTCCCATAATATAAAAGCATCAACGAGATATAAATCGTTTCTTGAACTGAAGTTCCATTAAAGTTTCAACTAAATCGGTCATCACACTTAGGCCCTCAAAATTACAATTCATCTCAAGGCAAAAATGTAATGGCAAGGCGCATATTTCATAATCGTCGAGCACCAGTTTCTATCGTCATCATAAATTCATAGTAGTGTGAATATGATAGCTCCCTAGCTATTCCAATCAGAAACATGAACCATCACTCTTTAAGAGTGCTTGTAAGAGGTGAAAATCAGATCAGCCATACAAACAAAGGTTTTAACAACAAATCTAAGTAGAACAGCATACATACCAACTGTAAAATACTAACCCTTTTGTTAGAACACCAAATTTCATCACTCAGATAAAAATACTCATCTGTGATTACAAAAATATAAATCAGTACATAGGCAGCAATGATTAATACCTTGAGATAGACCTCGGTGTTCTTGGGCAGATTTGGAAGGTTCCATTTGTGAATCGGAGTCGGAAACTATGTGGCACATAAATTCAACCCAAATCACTCAAAATCATCGTAATTAAAAATAAAAATAGAAATCGCGGCACTTTGAACCAATAAAAAATTGGATCTTGAGAAGAAAAATACATACATGGCCCAGTGAAAAGATGTGGGAAGGCAGGGGATTGAGGTGCGATGCCCATGAAGGCGGGGCGTAAGGCTTCTTGGCGAGAAATTCCAAAGTGGGCTCGCCGGATTTTGGAGCAGAATCCATTTGAATGCCGGATTTGGTGATGTAATTTGCTGCAGCTTGAGAGTGTGTGACTCGTCGGAAATGGGTTTGTTTGTCGGAGAAGATTTTGTTGTTGTTGATGGTGGTGAATGGTGAGCTAGACAGTGGAGCTGGACTTGGATACCTGCAACATAACATTTTTCAAGAATCAATAGTCATGTTCAAGAATCAAGAGTCAAGGCCACCCTATTGAT